TGTGGTGGTAAAAGGAAGGCCACGTTGGTCAACAGCAGACCACAGGAGACGGCAGCCTGCGGGATGGGAAGCAAAGGGGGAAGCGAGGTGGACCGGAAACGCACAACATAATGAGAAAAGGGTGTCTCAAGTCGCGACCTTTTTGTCGCCTGGCAGCATGAACAGATTGCGCACAGAGTGGGTAGGCGGTAGCTGGGCGCACTGAAAAGCGAGAGGCAAGGCGGCCAGCCATTTGCCTCGACCGCGCCACGTCGCCATGGTCTGCGAGCTCCATGGAGCCTAAGCCGAGAAGCCCTTCAACACGATTAAACGAGCAACGTTCTTGACACGCAATGATCACCCGAACACAGACGGACTACTAGATCGAGCTTTCAACATGATCGGAGGGCAGTTAGGCGGAAGGAAAGGATGTTGGAAACTTGCTTGGAGTTCAGGCAAACAGGAATGGAAGAGATGGACGGAGTAAGCGAGAGTACACGGCTCCGGGAGAGAGTACCCAAAAACGAAGGTGCAGCAGTGGTGTAGCAATCACGGAAGAGGAGTTCCTGAAACGAGACCCGGCCATCCATGGCGACCGTGGCGATGCTTCCAGCGACTTCGACACTGAAGGGCGATCAGGTTGCGCAAGACAAGACGGCTGGAGCGTCTCCGGCGTCGGCGGTGAAGCGGCAGGCGGGCTAGCAATGGGTGGGGAGTGGAAAGTGGTGGAGGTGGTGGGCGGCGGGGCAGGGAGCGGTGGTGGCGGCGGTGGGAGCAGGAGTGGGAGCGGCGCGAGAGTCGCCATCAATGGAGAGTGTTAAGAGGCGATGAGACCATTGTCTTTCAAAACTAACAAATGGCTACATATCCGTACACAAAAAAGACATGTCTCGTTTGTAAAAAAAAAAAAGACATGTCTCATGTTTTCCTGAATTACTACTGTATTATTTATGTTAGGAGCTAGGCCGTATAAAAGGCATGCACCAATAGAGGGACTATTTAGTATTTAGTGTTGTGCTATCCCAAGCACGGTTAAAGATATAGTTTGTGTCGTGTAACTCATCGTGCCAAGATCTTACGTGTAAGACATAAAATTTATTGTGCCATGCTGTAGTTCGAACCGTGCCACGAGTTGTCCTAAAATGACCGTGTGCCTAAGGCCCCGTTTAGTTTCTTCCAAAAGCCAAAATTTTTTGTGCGGTAAGTGTCACATCGAATCTTGCGGCACATGCATGGAGTACTAGATGTAGACGAAAAAAAAACTAATTGCATAGTTGGGTGAGAAATCGCGAGACGAAACTTTCGAACATAATTAGTCCATAATTAAACACTAATTACTAAATACAAACGAAAGTGCTACGGTACCCAAAAACCAAAAATTTCCGGATCTAAACACGCCCTAAGTCCTATAGCTCAGTGACGAGCACATTAAATCAGGTCAACTTCTTGCTGGCTTTCCCATCTCTGTTCCCCTTTGGCCAATGTCCATGAATTAATCCTTCCATCCTTTTCTATGCTTAGGTCTTCGTTAGCCAGCCTATAACCAAACTTGTTTACACCTCCCAACAAGCTATGGCGTCGCTGAGTTCGAGATGAGATCGATCTTGCTGCGAGGAATTTGACCCTGGTAGTGAGTCACATCGCCCAGTGACCCCTAGTCTCTGCATATAGCCTGCACTTGACGTACTACTGCCTCGTCACTGCGTCTCCCCCACCCCCCCCCCCCCCCCCCCCACACACACACGCCATTCCTCACTTCACACCACCGGCAGCCGGGAACCATGGCACCGGCTAGGGCGCACCTCCTAGCCTTCCTATCGGTTCTCACGACGATGGAGGTCGCCCTCTCTTCGTTGGCTGCCGGTGGTGGTCGCATGACGGACCAGCTCGACATACTCTGGGGCCCGACGCAGCTTCTCAACGGAAGCAACGGCGACGACCAGACCATCGGGCTGTCGCTGGACCGCGTCATGGGGTCGGGTTTCCGGTTCAAGACCTCCTATCTCTTCGCCAGGATCGACATCGACATCAAGCTCGTCCCGGGGAACTCCGCCGGCACCGTCACCACGGTTTACGTGAGAGAGAGCAACAAGACATGAAAGGATACTAATCTGACATTATTATTATTCATATGCATGCATGCCAGCTAGTGAACAACCAGCGTTCGTTCGTTCGTTCCTAGCTCTGATCGAGTGATGGATGCTATGCGCAGCTGATGTCTGAAAAGCAGTGGAAGACCCATGACGAGATCGACCTGGAGTTCCTTGGCAACCTGACCGGCCAGCCGTACACCCTGCACACCAACATCTTCGCCAATGGGTCCGGTGGCAGGGAGGTGCAGTACCGGCTCTGGTTCGACCCTACTCTAGACTTCCACACCTATTCCATCATCTGGAATTCAGACGAGATCCTGTAAGCCCCTCTGTTCTTCACTACATCCACGGAGTTTTTTTTTATCAGTCGCTAGTTTTCAGTGACGAGCTAGTCTTTGCTGAAACAACAAGTTTTCCTTCAAAAGTGAGAGAATGAGACAATGAGCTGAGTTTCAGGATCCTGGTCGACAACAAGGCGATCCGGCGGTTCAGGAACCACTGGGACGCCGGCGTCCCCTTCCCGGTGTACCAGCCGATGAGGCTGAACGGCGTGCTCTGGGACGCCGACGACTGGACGACGCAGGGCGGGCGCGTCAAGACGGACTGGTCCCAGGCGCCGTTCATCGCCTACTTCCGGAACTACCGCGCCAACGGCTGCGAACCGAGCGGGTTCGTGTGGGTGTGCGGCCAGCAGGGCGCGGCGCCCGGCGGCGGCGACTGGTTCGACGGCGGAGCGGCTGGGCTGGACGACATGAAGCAGCAGGAGCAGCTGAGGGAGGCGCAGGATAGGTACATGATCTACAACTACTGCACCGACTCCAAGAGGTTCCCCGGTGGCTTCCCCACGGAATGTGGGTTGGCGTAGAGGACAAGTGATGGTCAGATTGTTTCATTTTTTTCCTCTCTAGCCTAGATCTAGACTAGAGGAACGAAAACAAGAACAGATGTGCAACCATTTCTAGATTGGTCATCATACGCAGAGATTGTATTATTACTCTGATGCCTAGCATATACTTGATAGATATGTCAGCCGCTGAAATTTTCCCGCGAGTGGAGGGATGCTCAAGCAATGTTTCGGTGCTCATGTATGTGGCCTCGACGTAAGCAAAGCGAGACGTGTCGTATCCTCCAATCATTAAAAAAACAATAAAATGATTTTAGCACCGAAAAGTTTTGAAATATATTTTAGTAATATATCTATTCGGTGTTGTAAAATATGATTTTTTTTTAAAAAAAAGTTTCAAATTTTAAATAACTTTTTGAAGGGTGAAATTTTAGATAATTTAAGAGGTAGTCAATTGCGTACCTGGTAGAAGGGTACACCTGATTTTTGTGAGCATGTTACAGAAAAGACTGGTTGTTTCAAGTTTTAACGCAGTCACTGCAGAACGCATAATCCCTTTTGGAAGTGATTCAGTTTTACTGTCGGGTGGTAAGTCTAGGATTCGAATAACAACTTTTTAGTTTTGAATTTTATCATTGGAGGTCGTTAAGATAATCGAATTTTTTTTTTTTTGCGATCGTGCCAAAGCACGTTTTTCATTAAGCAGAGGTAGAGTTTAACAATACAAAGCTTGAACGGTAATTGATGATTACCGAGCCAAATGCCTACAAAGCTCACATGGTTGTGATTACAAAAGAACTATTTAGCGACAGCCTTGAGGAACTAGCACGGTGGTAAACACCAAAGGAGGCTCTGAACCAAGCGGCTAAAGAGCATCATGCTCCAACCCAGTAAAGTCCAGCTCCATGATCACCGGATCCACACCATCAGAGAATAGCACCTTAAGGGCTCATGTTTAGAGGCTGACAGCGGTGCAACAAAGATGGCCTGGAATCTATCGAAAGCCTCAGGGTCCAGACTCTGCGCCATGTTCGTGACCTAGTTAGAAAAATAATATGGGTCCCATATGTCATATCCTTGCTGCTGATATGTGGGTCTCATCTGTTAGATCCAATCCATGTAAGCGTTGAGTCAACATGTCACGTCAACTACCGGGTTGGGTAAACGCTCATTTGAACATAGATGAGACCCCAACTAACTCATTTTAAGATTTTATGGACCTATATGACACCTCTCGTTAACTTTGGAGACATATGGTGAATTTCACTCGAACGGGTTTTGATAGTTGTATGGTCAAATATTTCTTGTTTTAAAGTTTCATTGTTAAAATTTAAACTTCGACGATAGTTTGATGGTAAAAAATAGACTTTTTTTTACAAGAGAAAAAGAATATATAAAAGTGGTTAGGATAATTTAAAAATATTACAAGATTATTGAGGTAAAATTATCTTCTATATTTTAGGATTAAATTATTAAAAATGGTTAGATATGGTCTTATTTATTTATTCTAATACTTTTTGACGAGTTAGAAAACTCTATGGTTTTGAGAAAAAATTCTTGGAAACTCTCGGAGACGATCTTATTACCACACTACGTAACATAAGTCGACATATTAAAACAGTTTTTAAACATGGAGTATCTATATAGATCTTGTTTTGTAGGATTTTCAATTGTGCAAGCGAATTTAAAAATGTATTTTACATGCGAATAATATAATGACATTAAACTGCTTGGAATGTCTAGTTAATGCACCGCAACTTTTCAACGTTTCTACTTGTTCTATGCTGTTCTTTCATGCAGACAAAAAAAAATGAGGCGTGCACCGCGTTGTTTTCTGTTCTCGAGTGTTGTATTGTCGCGCGTTAACGTGCTTACTTAAGAAAAAAAAATTCCTCCATAAAAGAAAAGAAACTCCATTTTTTTGGGGGGGGTTATATAGGGCAGAAAACGCCCATCGGGATGCTGGAGCAGAAGCAGCAAACGGACGCATGCGGTCTGATTTTGTGAAGAAGCTGGAGAGAGGAGGCGCATGCGGTCGCCGCTCGCATTTTACCTTTTCTTTCTCCTGAATCCGTCTTTCACGGATGGCCATCTACTTCGCCCCGCTTCCCCCACCCCTCCCCGGATCGTTCTCTCTCCCAAGAATTCCCCAATTCGATCGGCAAGTACAGCCCTCTGGCCTCAGGTGAGAGAATGATCGGAATCCGTCGTCATCATTTTTTCTTTTCGCCCTTTCTCACGCGATGTTGTTAGAACAATAATTTTAATTGCTTAGTTTTAACATTCTTTTGATACGAAATCAGGGTAGGGTTCTTCATCAACATCCAGCATGTCAGTGTCTATGAAGGATTTGGACCCTGCCTTCCACGGAGCTGGGCAAAAGGAGTATCCTTTTTCGCATGCTTCCCTGTACTATGTACCTTTTTCATAGCCTGACATCTTTATATCATCGAGACGCATTGTGAGACCATAGGATGACTCAAGTGTTGATGACAAATAGCCAATTGATTGTAACAGTAAACATGCTTACCAGTAAGCAGCTAATTATTGTTTCTGCAGGTTAGTCTGAGAAACACACAGAAGTTGCATATTGTTTGTCTGTTAAACTGTTAAAAAACACTTACATTGTCTTTTCAGTGCTCCCGGGTAGTGATTGCTCTCTAGTGTCTACTATATCTGATTTTGCTGTGAGATGCTCCTAAAGTTTGACATGATCCTGAAAATGTAAAACACATATAGTAAGCGTAATAGCTATTCAAATGTCTTGACTTCAGTATTACATGCCAGGAGCCATAAGTTCTGATGGTTACAAACTTACACTGTATGACACAGTAGAACTTTATTTGACATGAACTGTAAAACTGTCTGTCTATCATGCCGCAAGTGTTTCGCTTTAGACAAAATTAAAAGTGTAGATATATTGGGTTAGAGGGTGGCTGAACTAATCAGAGAACCTCTTGATAACTAAACTATATAGGAATGGTGACGAGGTTGATGTAAATATCCAGCAAACACTCAATCCTTTCGAAGTTTCTTTGTCATTTTGCCCTAATTAACTTTACTGCTTTGTTCATAAGAGTTCCTTCTACAAGCATTGTACTCCTTAATTTTGTTATAGCGGTCTGGTGGTATGGCGTATTGAGAATTTTAAGCCAGTTCCTGTGGCGACATCTTCACATGGAAAATTTTACATGGGTGATTCATATATCATCTTGAAGGTATGGATTTACTGATGCCTTTTTATGAATATCCCTTTCTTTAGGAAGATTATTGGTGCATCTTAATTGAAAGGTAAAATAGTTGGTCCTGCTTGAAACAAAATCTTAGAGGCTCTGAGAAATCTGTGACAAATATTTTCTCAGTTTTTTTTCTATTTCTCATCTTGTATCGTTTAATGTAACCCTTGATGGTGCATGATATGCTTCACTGTCCATGAAGTTCTCATCATGACAGTACAGTCTGTTTATGGTTGATCTCAGTATTACCTTTTTTTACTGCACTGAATATTGTTTCCTTATGTTCCCTGCAGACAACAGCTTTGAAAAATGGTTCCTTTCGCCATGACATCCATTATTGGCTTGGTAAAGACACTAGTCAGGTAGATTTTCAAACCTGCATCACTTGATTTTGCTCTTCACTTGATTTTGCATCACTTGATTTTGCTCTTCAGGGATATTATACTGGTATTTTTTGTTAATTGACACCTCTCAGAAAATGTCCATTCTTTTCCTTGGTAGGATGAGGCTGGAACTGCTGCAATTTTAACTGTGGAGCTTGATGCTGCGCTTGGAGGACGTGCTGTCCAGTACCGGGAAGTACAAGGCAATGAAACTGAAAGGTTTCTCTCATATTTTAGGCCTTGCATCATGCCACAACCAGGAGGGGTAGCTTCTGGGTTCAACCATGTAGAAGTCAATGATCAGGAGCATGTTACCCGCTTATATGTGTGCAGAGGGAAACATGTTGTCCATGTTAAAGAGGTGAGCTATCTAAAGCACTATATTTTTTTTTTCCAACTAACAAGGTTTGCTCATTTGCTGATTATGCTTTCTATTTTACGACTAGGTTCCTTTTACTCGTTCATCCCTTAACCATGAGGACATATTTATTTTGGATACCAAGTCCAAAATTTTCCAGTTCAATGGTTCCAACTCATGCATCCAAGAGAGGGCAAAAGCTCTTGAAGTTGCACAGTATATCAAAGATACTTTCCATGAGGGCAAGTGTGAAGTTGCAGGGGTTGGTAAGCAAATACATTAATGTACTAGAATATGAGAAATTCAGAAGTTGCATTTAAGAAGATGTGATAATTTAAATTTCTCTTCTAGAGGATGGGAAATTAATGGCTGATGCGGAAGCTGGTGAATTTTGGGCTTTGTTTGGGGGCTTCGCTCCTCTTCCAAGGAAGACACCTTCAGAGGATAAGGAAGACAGGGAAATCGCCATCAAATTGATATGGTATCTCACTACCATTTGTTTTAAAAGATCAATACCATTTTTCCCATGTCCACAAAGCATCAGTTTTAGTTGTCAACAAGAACAATAATATACTATTTAAATTATGCCATCTGTTAGATTAAATTTCTCTTGAAATTATGAAATTGAATGAATTATTTATTTGACTTCCCAGCATCAACCAAGGAAAATTGGAACAAATTATTTTTGAATCCTTGGCGCGTGAGTTACTTGAGCCAAACAAATGCTACTTGCTTGACTCATGGTGCTGAAATGTATGTTTGGATGGGCAGAAGTACTTCTTTGCAAGAAAGAAAGGGTGCGAGCAATGCTGCTGAGGTATCTACATAAATTACTTACGCATCTTCATTATATATTTTTGAACGAATGCTTCTTCATTATATCCACTCTAAGATATTATTAAAAAAAAACAGTTATTTTACTCTCAAATTTAAGGAAAGCTAGTTACTTCACTCTCAAAATGGAAAGAGCTAATTATTTTTCTTGGGCTCACTACTCATAATGATTATTTTGTAAAACATTTTTTTCTTAAGGTTCACAATATATTCATGTTTTACAGTATTATGCATCTGTGCACGCTCAGTTTCTTTTATCTCTATACAGAAACTACTCATTGATGATAGCCGAGCAAAATCACATGTTATCAAAGTGATCGAGGGATTCGAGACAGTCATGTTCAAGTCAAAATTTATTGAGTGGCCACCCACACCTGATTTGAAGTTATCATCTGAGGACGGAAGAGGCAAAGTTGCAGGTTATTGTCTACATATTATCAGTTCCAGGGCAAGATATTGCTAATAGCCAAATTTCACACTTTTATCCACTGTTTCGTCTTGCAGCTCTCCTCAAAAGTCAAGGATTAGATGTTAAAGGCTTGATGAAAGCCGCACCTGTAAAAGAAGAACCCCAGCCTTACATTGATTGCACAGGTCATTTGCAGGTATTATCTTTTCCAACTCTTATAGCTCTTTGTGCAAGGTGCTAAGTACCTTCCTCTTGGTTTTGGATCTTTTTAGATTCCATCCCAAACCTACCCCAACTTTCTTGAAACCAAAGGCTTTGCTGTTTTTTGCTAGTTATCTCCCTAAGGTTGTGTTCTAGCTCCCAACTGCACTTTTTTCTCGAACACGCAGGAGAGCTGCGCGTCATTTCATTAAAGGTAGATAAAAAAAGGTCTGAATACATGCCGAATTCCAAGGCTTGGTTAGTTGAATTTTACATGCACGTATTTGGATAAGCTCCCAACTGCACTCGTGCAAGCTAAACAAAACTACCTTGAATATACATGTATGCAAAATATGTCATCTGGATGACGGGATTCCTAATATCCCAAATTCAACCATACCGTCGATCTACACCCATCTCCTTTGATATCTGCCTTCCAACCAAAGTTAATAGGCAAAAGTTTGCCACAGCATTCATCCATTTATTTTAGGTGCAAGTTTCATGGTGGTTTTGTAACCTGTCTATTGGCATCAGGTATGGAGGGTGAATGGAAATGGCAAGACTCTTCTTTCAGCTGCTGACCAATCAAAATTTTACACTGGGGATTGTTACATTTTTCAATACACATATACTGGAGATGACAAGGAGGAATGTCTTATTGGAACTTGGTTCGGGAAGAGAAGTGTTGAGGTAATATCTGCGCACAAAATCAACATCAGTAATGGTCTCAGGAATTTAAACCCACACGGATTTATTTAAGTCAAGGGATATTTTCATTGTTCCTTGTTATATCTGCCTATGTTTCTAATAAATGTGTTTTTGAGTCAAGTTGCTCCTTGTGAATTGATCTTACTTGCTTTCAGGTGGAGAGGGTGTCAGCGATGTCACTGGCTAGCAAGATGGTTCAGGCTGCAAAGTTCCAGGCTGTCCAGGTAATTCTCTGAATATTTATATCTTAAATCATATTTTTGGTCTCTAATTTATTTTTTAATGCACAGGTTCGGCTTTATGAAGGGAAAGAACCAATTCAGTTCTTTGTCATATTTCAAAGTCTTCAAGTGTTCAAGGTTTGCTTCAAGTTAGCAGTCAAAATCCTTGACCTGTTCTGAAAAATCTCATACTTCATGTTGAATGTTCTATATGTTTCCTCTCTGTCTGAATTTTCAATATAGGGTGGCCTTAGCTCTGGATACAAGAACTTTGTTGTTGAAAATGATATTGTGGATGACACTTACTCTGAAGGTGGGATTGCCCTATTCCGGATTCAGGGTTCAGGATCAGAAAACATGCAAGCACTTCAAGTAGACACAGTAAGTTTGGCATACTGTTTCAAGATATTTATGAGAACATTAGTCTTCTCTTCATAAATGAGCATCTTAATCTTTCTCATCTTTTTGTTAGCTGGCTTCCTCCTTAAACTCGTCCTATTGTTACATTCTACACAATGGAAACACCGTGTTCACATGGACTGGCAACGCTACGACCTCATTGGATCATGACTTGGTTGAGAGGCAGCTAGATGTAATTAAGGTCTGAATATTCTTTCTCATTGGGGTGAATACACCTTTGTACTTATGCAGATTTCCTGATGATTAGCACATTGGTAATTTGGTATCAATGTAAAACCTTGACTAAAACCCCCCTGCAAAGGTTTTCCATGTTTCTGATAAAAAAATAGTCCGAGTATGTTATACATGAAGCAATGCTCAATGGCGCTTTTGTTTGTGTCACATGTTCTGCGTATTTGAATTCATTATGCTTTTCATTTGTCTTAACTCTTCTTTGTGCTTCTGTTTTTATTGTACAGCCAGATCTGCCTTCCAGGTCACAAAAGGAGGGGAGAGAAACCGACCAATTCTGGGAACTACTGGGTGGTAAATCCAAGTATCCAAACCAAAAAGTTGGAAGAGAAAATGAAAGTGACCCCCATCTTTTCTCATGCATCATATCCAAAGGTAACTGCACACAAGGATTTTCTAGGTTGAATTCACTGTTCAACATCTGCTGACACTTCTCTTCTTTGGCTACTAATGTTGTTGTCGTGAAGGCAATATAAAGGTAAGGAAAACAAAGATGTCAAGGTTTTATCGCTAAGTGCTTTCTTGATTTCTTGTCTAATACAAACATTGATTTTAAAATGTATATCAGATCAAAGAAATACACAACTTTACTCAGGATGATCTGATGACAGAGGATGTTTTCGTTCTTGATTGTCACTCAGACATATTTGTTTGGGTTGGCCAGGAGGTGGATGCCAAAGTGAAATCACAAGCTTTGGATATTGGAGAGGTTAAGCCAAAATTATCCTCCATAGTCTAATTAGTAATTACAATTTTTATTTGTTTCTCACTTTCTTTGTCACTGTAACTGCCAGAAATTTCTTGTTCATGATTTCCTTATGGAGAAACTATCACGAGAAACACCAATATTCACTGTGTCAGAAGGTAGCGAGCCACATTTTTTTACTAGATTCTTCAACTGGGACTGCGCAAAATCTCTTGTAAGTAATCTTTCAAAAAAAAATCTCTTGCAAGTAGTTTATGTGTCATGTACTTGCTTATTGTGAATTAACACCAATTCTATTCCATGAGATTTACACCTATGTATTCCTGCCTGCTATTTAGCTTTGGAAATTAATTCATCTTTACACTTCTGAATTTTTGTTGCAGATGCATGGCAGTTCATACCAGAGGAAGTTTGCTGTCCTAAAGGGTGGAGCACCTCCATCACTGGAAGTAAGTCTCAAACAAATGATCTTCCAGTAGCTCGGTGGAAATCATCTTCTACCTGCTTCTTGTGAATTTAGTATTAGTTTCTATCCCAGTATTTGGTTGCAAATTAACTTTTTATTCATGATCTCCATGTTTATTGATACTTTTGCCTTTTTCGACACTATTAACTTCTTGTGCGGGTATATAGATGATCACAAATTCAGGTTTTCAGCATTTTAAGTAGGACTAGTATGTCATTTGTATGATTGAGCCTCAACATATATATGCTGACCATAAGGTTTCATAGAAGGACTACAGGGTGGCTAAACTGGTGTCTGAGTTCAAGTCCACTATCTAAAAGCAACTCTCTTACTATCTCCATGTTTTCAGAAACCAAAACGACGAACACCAGCATTTATGGGAAGAAGTTCGGGACAAGATAAATCTCAGCGTTCAAGAAGCATGTCCACTAGCCCGGATCGTCCACGTGTTCGTGGAAGGTCTCCAGCCTTCAATATGTTAACTTCTGCCTTTGAGAACACAAACAAAAGCAATACTAGGAACCTTTCCACCCCTCCCCCCGCTGTGAGAAAGCTTTTCCCAAAATCTGGAGGCCCTGAACACTCAAGGGTGTCACCCAAAAAATCAGCTATCAGTGCCCTCACCAGCTCTTTTGAAGGTCCCTTGAAAAGTACAATACCAAAATCGGTAAAAGGTATAGTGAATACAGCTCTTTAAATTTCAATTCTGACAGAACATGGATAGCAAATGTTCCAGTTCCTTATCTCTCCCGTTTCTGAATCTTTTTGCAAAACTAAGCGAGCCATGAGCCAGAGAAGGCGATACAGGGGGAAGGTGCCGCAAGCAGTGCAAATGAAAACGAGCAAGAAGATGATGAAGGCACGATCTACCCATATGAACGTCTGACAACCACAGCTGAAGATCCTGCCCCTGACATCGACTTGACCAAACGAGAGGTGACAAACTGATATCTTCCACCTTCCATTCGCATACATTTGTCAGGTCAGATGATGATGCCATTTACTGTTATCAACTAAATGCAGGCCTACTTATCGTCAGCCGAGTTCAATGACAAATTCAACATGACAAGGGCGGCGTTCTACAAGCTCCCCAAGTGGAAGCAGAACAAATTGAAGTCTGGTGTCCATCTTTTTTAGCCTGGCCGCGGTCGTCTCGACTCCTGAAAACTGTAACCGTTTGTGAGGAGTGAGGGCACCAGTTTTCGTGTTTAGAGCTCCTATTCTTTTCGAAAGTTGTCCTTGTTCTTCCCATTTACAGGATCTAAGATTCATCCAGAGCTCAACAGGTTTGGAATTCCAAAGCTCACTTCTGCTGTGAGCTCTTTGGATCATATGTTGATTCTTTTTTTTTCAGTTTGGTCAACGTTTGTGTTCTGGGCTTCTGTGGTCAGCAAAGGTCGTCACGACTTGAGATACCAAGGGCACAATAATGTACAGGAAACTGACTAAACCGATGCACAGACGAACCAAGGCGGCCGGTGCGCATCGTCAGTCATCGCGTAGTAGCCGAGTTAGCCACAGGGCCGACAAATCCATTATCCATTTATCCATGAGGGGAAGCTTCTGTCCCTTTCCCTCTAGAAGGAAGCCTGGCTCGCACTTCGATGGCAACGACATGCACAGAACTGGATGGGACGGATGCTTCCGAATGCCGGTATTGGCATCATCGGCGACGCTGACACCGGCTCGGCATTTTTTCTCTGTCGTCCCTCCGTATTTTTCTTTTTTTATTAAGTATATCTTCTTATATATAAACATAAAAACAAATGATAAATTTTGATATTATGGGTATTTGAACTTTGACATTTTCCTCATAAACAAATATTATCACTAAATTATCGATATAGTTTTGATTAAGAATAAAATTATCTTGGTAACAGGATCAGTCGATGATTCCGCTAATCAAATCGTAAAGCTAAAATCATGAGCAATTTGTTACCCAATCTAAATATTTTTGTTGAGGTCAACTATGGGGGATCAAACCGATACCCAATCTAAATATAAATAAATGTACGTCTCAGTTGTACATATGCGAATTAGAACAACTTGTGTCTAATAATATGATTTGTACTCATGCGTGATCATACCGTCATACGAATTAGAACAAAGTCCGACTCCAAGATATATTGGCTTCTGTTACAATGCACAGGCACATTTGTTAGTAATGTATATAATAGGTAAAATTACACATGAATTTCTCATGCATACCTATATAATTATACTAGTTTGAAGGTATAAGTTTGGCTGTGAAATCTGCATATGTCCCTCTCATGGTACATTTTGAGACTTAGTTAAATTTTCATGTGACTAAGTCATGGTAAAAGTCATAGTAAATTAGGGTTAGATTCAAACCTCGGTACCAAGAGGCATGGCGCTGAGGTCAGCGCTAACACCCAAACTTGCATCATGGCACCGAGCACTGACCACGTCAGCGCCATATCACCGCCACGCCACTGCCTGGCCTCGAAGCTTGACGCCATGAGCCATGGTGCCAAGACATGTTACCTCAGCGCCGTGACTCGTGGCACCACCCTAGCGTCCAAAGACGGATATAAGTTAGCTCAAGGGTATAAACATGTATTTTTTTTTTCAAAAAAAGATTAAAAAAGGTCGGTGCAGTTCTCATTCTCTCCTTGACAAAACTCTCTTTAGAACTTAATCTTTTCAGACGATAAGGAATCAGGCTAATTGTTAAGAGAATTTAACAAGAAGCACCGTACAATCAATTTGCTCTTACAAAAATCAAGAACAACCAAGTTCTAGATACTCTCTCTCATTCCGAGCTACACCAGTCCGACTACCTACTCGCTGCGTCCTCGGTCATCTTCAGGAACTGGTGCTGAGGAACCCGGTACTGAGACAGGAACATCAACAATTGCATTTATTTATATTTTAATACAAAAGATTGCAAGTCTATAGCCACCTCCCGCAAATCAAAAACTCTCCCCAGAAAGAAGTTTCGGGCTTCAATTTCAGGTACCACAGATGTGCTAATCTGTCGGGCAAGGGCACCAGTTTCACTCATTAACACCTCCACCATCTGATAGAGACGTTTAGCTTGTGAGGCTGACAGCAGAGGCTTCATTTTCTTTGCGGGTGTACCAAGGCAAGGTGAGTTAGCAACACCAATGGGTTCTTTTCTTGCTTTTTTATCTTTTACAGAAGTTGAAGACGATGACTTTGGACCTGTTGCTGATGAAACTTCTCCAGAAAGCAAAGACTCCAGCTGTATATCAGGTGTGGATGATACAGATTCTGACAACGTCTTCCTGTTTTTGGATAAATACTCAACGGTTTCCAAAGTTGGGACATCCTTTGTCTCATCTATAGCCTTCAGACGATCTAACATGTCACTTTAGAACAGCCTTCGCAGTCTTGAGACTGCACGATGTGCGATCTCATATGTGAAATGCTGCGTGATCCAGGACAGATCCACCCACAGGCTAGGCACCTAAATGCATGCCGCCTAGCCCGTTTATCTTTTGCGAACTGCCATAATCCTTCAACTTCGTCATTGTCCCGGCTGCAGAATTAAAGTGCACAACACAGCAATATACATTCAGATCATGAAATTGTCAGCTGTGAAACCAGAAAAACTACATGTGGACAATACGCTGCAATAACTATTACAAGTAAAATAAATTAGAACATCACTTACCGGATGGCACTCGGGAAGTATAGATGTATGTAGTCTGATATAGAGGTTTCAATACGCTCGGCGCTGCGTCTGATGGCAGGCATAGATCTTGTTTTGACTACTGTGTTAAGATCATCAATTTTGCGCATAAGGTCAAGAGCTACAAATCTTCCTTGGCATCCTTGAAGTAACTCTACTGATTTCTGACAGAAAGAAGCAGCCTCTTCAAATTTTTTATCCGTTAGCATATCTAACAATCTTTCCTCACGCGGGATCATAAACAGCCCAGGATGCATCATGACAACTTCATCGGGGGTCTTCTTGAGGATGGTTGCAACCAACTTGCCCAGGTAATCATCCAAACCTTCCCACTCTTGCTTGACAATAAAGGCGTTCGCCACTGAGGCATCAAAAGTCAGCAGCCTGCAGGCACCAAGAACAATATATATATATATATATATATATATATATATATATATATATATATATAAGCACAACTACAGTAACAATGTGTGGGTCAGATTTCCACGGTCAGAAAGCATGGCCACATACTCAAATCATACATGAAGAGGAAAACAAATGTGACGGGCTGAACCAAACATACAAATCATACCGGATGGCAGAAGCAAGGTCTGGAAGATGAAATTACTGCACAATTGAAATTACAAAAACTACAAAGAAGAACATATAGATCATGTACAGCATGGAAAATGATTTGAAGACAGCGGTTCTTACTTAGGAGAACTGGACGGTGGGTCTGACATTTTCTGATCCATGAGGGTAGCCGCTGTTATCCTGCAAGCTAGCACCACAAAACTAATTGTGAGCATACATGAAGAGGAAAACAAATGTGACATGCTGGCCTGAACTAAACACACAAATATCACGTAGAAATTAATGCACAACTGAAACTACAAAAACTACAACCAATATATGAGTCAGAACAGAAGATATGCTGTTTCACAGAACTGCAACGCAAACGGTAGAAATAGCATGTCCAAGTTCACGTGTCAGATCAGATACCCTAAAAACAATCAACTACGAGATGACATGTGCGCGTCAGATTCGTTGACGTCGTCAACCCCTCCTCATCAACACCACGAACCATGCATCTGTCTAACACCGAATCGCAGAAATCGCCCATCTATCCAACTCTAATCCCACGAATGCGCATGGAGAAGACATGCACAAACGAGCAACACCTTCCGATCGACCGAAACTACGCACAAACCAGGAGGCTGGCGGCCCCTGGAACCGACTGGGGAGAGACTAGGGTTTCGACCTGGCACTTACGTCGTTAGACGAGAAGTCACGAGTGGAGCGAGAGGTTTCGATCCTTTGCTGCGGGCGCAGATCGGATCGGTGACGAGCACGGAAATCTTCGTATGTGCCGACCACATTCGGATCGGTGACGAGCACTTCCTAAGAGTTTATTCTACGTATATTGGGCCGTTTCTTCGTATCGCGTGGGTGGGCTTTGCGTCGTGCGGCCGGGTCTGGAGCCCAAGAAAAGGTAGTTCCTGCCTCCGTGGTCCCACGGCGCCACGGACGGTGTCCGCCACAACCATCGGACTGTTTGTTTGGCTGCGAACATCAGTAAGCGATCGTAAATTTTTAGTGGAATGTATTTTTTCTCTCATACAAACCAGATAAAGAAGTACTTTTTTTACTGAACCAACGAAGCAACGAACCCAACCAACCGAATGTTTCAAATATATACATTTTTTTTTGAAACTACATCGTGTACTATTTTTTTTTTTTAAGGGGAACATCGTGTACTGTTGGATAAGTGTGGTCGGCAACTCGGCATGACCTTTTCTTTTTTCCTTTTCTTTTTTTTTCTTATTCTTTTATTTTTATTTCATGTTCCTTGTCTATTTACATCATTTTTATTTTCCTTTTTCTCTTTTTTACTTTTTATTTCTTCTTGTTTTATTTTTACTTTTTTATTATTCATTTATTTTCTTTGTATTAATATTTTATTTTATTTTATTTTTATTTTTCCTTTTCTATTCAAATTGTTTTACTTTTCATTTTCTTTATATTTTTCTTATTATTTTCCTTTTCCTTAATATTTTATTCCCTTTTATATTTACATCGTTGTTTACCTTTCGTTTTTTTTTCTTTATTCTTTTTCTAGCTTTCTCTTTTTACTTATTATTTTTGCTTGCTCTCTTCATTACTTTTATATGTTTTATGATGTATTTTGTGATATTCATATGTAGTATATACATGTGATGTTCACGTAGTATAAAAGTACTATGATTATATTGTACTTTATGACATGTTCTATGATATATTCTAGGTTGTTCAAGCATTATCCAAGTGATGTTTTTTATGTTCCTATATTATATTTTTTTAATTTTTGTTTCTCTGTACTTGCGAGATGTTCTATGGTATATTTTGAGTTATTTTAGTAGTATCGATATAATGTTTAGAGTTAGCAAGTGCCGCCACTGAATAGGATGTGCAAAAAGCTTGGAATAATGAGATATGATAT